CTGCCCGGGGCGCGTGCCCCAGTCATGCCGGCGGTGGGAAGGGGACGACTCCGGGCCGGCCTGGCGGGCCGTGGGAATGCGAAATTTCACACTCGAAGTACAAGTTACCGGGTTCTGTTTTGCCTTTTAATCAGCTGTAAACGTGGGGAGACAAACCTAGGCGGTCATCTTAGCTGACCTGTCTTAATACGGATGTAAAGAGAGTTACACAGCATCCATTTCTGTTTTCGTGATACTCCGTGCTTTGTGCCTGAAACCATTCTGTGTCTTGCATATTTAAACATCCTGAGCATGTGCATACTGGCAGGACGTTTCAGGTTCTCAGTACCGGGCGGTCCGTGTCAGGCCAGAACTGCTTCTCTGCTGCGTACCTGGCTGCAAGTAACGTCTTGAATGGACGGTCTTCAGGATATTAAGGCTTTCAAATTTAGCTAAGTGGTTTATACATAAAAAGTGAAGTACTCTGACAAGTACTGAAATGGGCTCAAATTAGGTGAAGTAGCAAATCCAATTAATTTTTTTATTGGAACACTCCAGTGTCTCTCGGGAGACATTCATTCCTCTGCGTCATGACAAACTGTCACGCTCGTGCTTCCTACAGGGGTTCCTGGCTTAACTAGATTCAATTAATTCTCAGCGTAAGAAACACTGAATTCAATATTTTTGCAAAGATCTTTTCATGTGTCCTTGGAGGCAGCGCTCGCTTTGTGGATAAATTATATTTGTCTTTGTATAACCCTGCTGCTGCGCAGTGTTCCCTACCTTTAGTGCTTGCAGTGAAGACAATGAAATTAGCATTGAACTTGATCCAATTACCTCTTTTTTTTTTCCTTCTTTTCAGTAACCACTTCTGCAGCTTGTGAGAAATTGGAGAGAGACAGGAACGAACTGCAAGCTGCTTATGAAGGATTTCTGCAGAAGCTAAACCAGCAACATCACAACGATTTAGCTGAGCTGGAGGAGAGGCTGAAACAGTTCTACACTGCGGAATGCGAGAAACTCCAGAGCATCTGCATTGAAGAAGCTGAAAAGTACAAAGCGCAGCTCCAGGAGCAGGTTGGTGGCATTGGGAGTAGTAGAAATGTCCTCTAGCAATTGCTTTCTGCTACAGACGAGCCTGCAGAGAACCCTGGGGTTTGCTAATTAATGGAGTCATTATATCTAATGTGAAATGCCACTTTCTTGCAACTATGAAAATGTGACTACCCTAAGCTGTCCAGGTCTGAAGCTTGTGTTTAAACGTGGAGGAGATTCCTTGTGTTCTGCAAGCTGCAGTGAGTTCTAGGGCCCCACTGGACATCTGAGGCCGCTTGAGCTGTAAGATTTTACAGAAACACACCTGGCCCCTGACCTTGCTTTGCAGCAGCTCCGTGTGCGCGACAGACGCCCGCGTCATCCTGCCGGCAGCAGGAAACTGCAAGGCAGCGCTCTCATCCGCGAGGTGGGGCGCGGGGCTTAGCTTCCCCTGTGCCCATCGGTTAAGCGCTACCTAGAGAGCGTAAAATGTGCTCGGCGTGCTGCATAAAGCCGTTGGAACGATACTTTAAGCAAGGGTTGACGCATGTGAGGGGCAAAAAAATCATGTTGTCATGTTGCAGGTGGACAACTTAAATATCACCCATGAAAACTTCAAGCTGGAACTTGAAAATAACCACTTGGAAAAAGTAGAGGAGCTGAAAAAGGAGTACGAATCCTCTTTTTCAGGCAAGTATTTCGTATTCAAGTACATATGCTGTAGTACTGCAAGACACAAACACCAATATTCCAGCTTTTTCATCAGTGTGTCCTCTTTGTTGTTCTTGGCAGTCAGCTGTCTCTAAAAACGCTGGCTGAACTCCTTCTTCTGGAACTGAGCAAGTCTCATTTTACGTATGGAAATAACCGTGATCCCGTTGTAGTTGAATGAAACTTTTAAAACCATTTCAGAGCAGAGATGACTTTTTTTTTTTCCCCAGTAAAAGACGTCTGAATTGCAGTCTGCCCTCAAAATCTCAAGTTAGCGAGTAATTGCTCCCACCCCCCCTAGTTCTATAAGGAGCACCTCAAAACTGGAACTGAGGATAGGAGCAGGGCTGTGCGCTTTCCAGACTGACGTGGGAGCGCTGAGAGACGTTACGCGCCGCTTGCAGCGTGCGGGGGCAAAGGTGGTTCTTTGGGGAGGGGGTGGTGAGCGCGCTCGGTTTTAACTGGCATTGCGGCTCGTTGGTTGAAGCGATGATGATGCCCATCCTCCCCCCAGCTCCACTCGAAAGCCACCTTTCCAGTGATACTTCCGTGTCATGAAAACTGGTGACGCTTCTGCTGCAATGGCAGAGCCAGCTCCTCTGCGTGGCATCTCCAGAGCAGGACGGGAAATGGTTTTTTTTTCCAGAAGTTTTTGGAAGACACAATTTGAATTATTGCTGTGTTTCCCATCCGAAACTCAGCTTTTGTCAGATGTGGCTCGGTTCATCCGTTTGTTGCGTGCTTTCGAAACGGGCGCGCTGTCAGCGAAGGAGGTGGGCACGCGAGGGGGCAGTCGGCAGGTCTGAAGCAGCAATGGGTCTGATGCTTCGGACCAGCTGATGACGAAGGTTCTTTCTGTGTTGTCACTGACGCCGCGTCCGAGCGCGTGTGTACTGGCTGGCTTTTCGTGCTGCTGCTTTTCAGAAAGGAATTTCCATGTCTTACGCGGTATTAATGACCTGCAAACGTAATGTGTTGCAGAGCTCAAGAGTGCCCATGAATCCGAAAGGAGGTCGCTGGAAGATTCCTTTAAAGAGAAGCAGGAATTGCTGGAGGTTTGTTAAGGGCTGGGGTCATTGCAACAGTCTAAAACCTGAAGGGCAGTTTGGAGGCGTGCACTGCATTCCTGGCCTAACCATACCGTATTTTCTCATTTCAGAAAAAAATCGATGAATTAAAATGTGAAAACGACTCTCTGAGTGAGAAGTTGAAATTAGAAGAGCAAAAACAAATAGCCAAAGAAAAAGCCAATCTTGTAAGTCTTGATCTTCACAAGTAACGCAGATGAGCAGATCTTGTAAGCCGGGGTTTATTTTAGTGCGTAACAGGTCAGGTTTGCGATCAGGCCTGATAGGGCTCCCATTCTTATCAATATTTTATGTAAATAGCTCGCCTGCCAGAAGTTTTTCTCAGTTACGACAGTGTTGTGTATTAACCGTACGTTATAAATCTACAAATCTGTTGAACAGCGAAGTCAGCGGTGGAAGTTACAGCCCAAGCTAAACTGAAGACCTGTGCGTACACCAGGGATGGTACCGTAGCTCTCTTCCGGCCGGTCGGTAGCTGTTCCGACAGCGCTGCGGGCCGTGGGGGCTCACATCGCGACAGCAAAGCTCCCTTCTTCTACTTGGGTCCCTAACGCATTTATTCAAACACCGACTCATGCCTGTTGCTGATTTATCCTTCAGATAAATTCTTATTTTGTCCTGCCTCTCCTCCCAAGGCTGCTCTTATCTGTGATGCTCCTGGCTTAGAAATGTGCTGCGAGAGGCTTTCCGTGCGCCGGGAGGGTTCGACACAAACGTGCTCGTATTTCTGGTTACCTGGAAATAACTGGAACACCAGGAGTGTCGCTGATCCCACAGAGAGGAGTTCCACACTGAAGAATTCACTTAGGATGCTTCTACTAGAAGTTGCCCTAATTTTCACTGGAATTTATTTTTTTCTCTTGTATTGCTTATTCTGGCGGCAGGACAGAGCTGCCACGAGAGGAATCTGCAACCACGACCCGTTGCTGTGGTTGGGAGAGATGATACCAAAGAGCACGCGTTGTCCACTGCCCCGGGGAGTTTGACCTGGGTCCCGCAGCACGCTCAGACGTCGTTAACTGCAGCGAGCAGCAGTCGCCTGCCTTTACGTAGCTGCAAAGGCACTTTGCATCCTGACAGCTTAATACACATCATGGCTTGAGGCTTCTTTGTGGAAAAATACTGACTTGACCCAGTGTTTTCTTCTGTACTAAATGCAAATTCTGCATTGTCAGAATTCCCACCAGCCCTGTGTAGACGGAGGTGCATCTCCAGCTCCTCCAGTATTAATTGGGTAGTGTCACTTGATATTCCCAGCTCTTCTGCGAAAATCTTACGTAGGCCTGTCAGCCTTTATCTGGCTGCGTTCTACTACAAGTAGCTAATGTGGGTGGCTCGGATTTAGCTTTTAAAAGACATTGTCAGACCATTGGGGCAGAGGAGAGAAAGAAAAAAAAATTAAATTTTGCACGCCCTGTGAGCTGCATTTAAACTTCTCAGGATCACTTTTCTCGCTAGCTCCTAGACTCCGTGGAAAGCAGCGCAAGGGGGGAAGGAAGCTCGGATTGCCTGCCTCCTCCTTCGAGGCAGCGCAGCGCACCCCGTCCCGGCCCGGGCTGCTGCTCAAAAGCAGAAACCGAGCAAGAACCCCCAGTGCCGCGGTCCCTAGAACCGGGCAGGAGGGCCAAGGGCTCAGGTGACGAGGCCCTTGCTACCCGTGGAGTGTCCTTGGGGGGCTGCGCCCCACAAACCTGCAGCGCTCTGGGGCGGCAGAATACGCCAGTATTCTTACCCAAATATGTGAAAACAAGTTTTGTTTGTTTTTCAGTAGAAGCTTAGTTACACAACACACTTAATCATTGATTGATTTCTGTTTGTGTTCTGCTTGGATTACCTGGAAATTGGCTGAGACTTGCTTTATTTCTTCTTATTTTTTGCCTGGGACTTTGTTTTTGAAACGTAGAGAGTATGTTTTACTCTGCAGCGTTTGGGTGGTTCCTTACTCTGGAAGCAAGGTCTGTGAGGAAACCAGGTCTGACCCTGCCCTGTCCCCCTGCCACTCTCCCCTCTCCCTCCTGGGAAACAACAAAAAAAGGAAAAAAAAAAAAGAAATTCTGAACATGCTGTACCATAGATATGCCATGGATGTGCAGCCGTGCAAGATTTCTATGTGCAATTGCATTGCTAGGCTCGAAGAAGAATGTGAAAACGAAAATGTTCAATTTCTGCTGGTGAACCAGCTACCTTCAGACTCAAAACGGGGGAAATCAAGTTGATGGCTTTAATTTCTGGTGCTTTCTGAACTGCTGCAGCATCTGAAAGCTCTTCAGATGTTTACACTAATTGTGTCTTGGGATGGGTTATGAGTAATATGAAATAAATTTTGGAACTCCTAGCCTTAAAGGGAGCCTCTGGGCACTCCTGCGAAACAAGCCGTGCTGTGACAGCTCCGGTGCTGTCCCGTGACTCACAAGGGCTTTTCACACTTGTGCATAAACATTCTTCTGAATGCCTAAGGAAAGCTGCAGCGGTCCACCTACACTGAAGGACAACGAAAATCAGAGGAGAAAGTGGTTAGCAGGGTGGTTTTTTTTTTTTCTAAGCTGTTCAGGTTGATTTCACTTAGAACAAGTAACTGTCACCACCGTATTTATTTTCTTGCTCTTTCTAAATAGCAGAGGAACACTTAAATTGTTCCTGAAACTCAGGGTACTAAGCAAGCTCTGTGGATCTCTTTCAGAAAAACCCGCAGATCATGTATCTGGAACAGGAGCTGGAAAGCCTGAAAGCAGTGCTGGAGATCAAGAACGAGAAACTCCATCAGCAGGATATAAAGCTAATGAAGATGGAAAAACTGGTGAGTTCTCCTTGGGGTCTACCTGCTACATTTGCCTGAGCGTTACAGGAGATAGGCTGCACTGTCAGGTGAACATCAACATGGGAGTGATCCTAATTAAAGCAGAAGGGATCAAATACGAAATAGAATGTTTTCATCTAGACTTCATAAGCTTAGGTCAGTCTGTTGAGCTATTATCTCGAAGCTGCTTGTTTAGCAGTGTGGATTTGCTCCTGATCTGTGCATAATTCCACAGAAAAGGCAACTCTGGGGGCAGAACTTGTAGTTCCTTAGCGTGTTCCTACTTGTGGCAGGACAGGGTCCTTGCCCTGCGTGGGACCTTTGAGCACTGCTGTAGTACTTTCCCAAGCAAGACTTTAATGAGGAAGCACAGAAGGAGGTTTGGATACAGAGGAATACATTCATGTCAGTTGTTCAGTATTGTACGGCATCATAGGATGCCCTGGTCTACAGTTAGTAGTAAATCACTAGTAAACCATCTTTGCTGACCGATGTTGGCCACAGTACGTAAGCCCTTGGACCATCCAGCCATGTAATCACTGTTTTCCCTTAGCTTTTGGTAAGGAAGCGGAATCGGGAGAGCAACACGGAGAGCTGTTTGTGGAGGGGAGCCGTCGAATTTGTCACGTTACCGTGTTATTTCTAGGCAGTTTTCTGTCTGCAACAGCTTCTAAAACCGTGCCTGTCACTGGCAGAAGTTACCAGAACGTGCTGGTTAGCTGGTAGATCCCTTATCCAGCCCTCCTTTGCTGGCACCTAATCGGCACAAGGGGCAAAATGCCACTGTTACACAAGGGTAAGGTACGTGGGATCTGACTCCTGCAGAAGAGTAAGCCACGATAGCAGGCCAGTCTGGTGTTACTCGAGGCTTTTGTGCTCCCCATAGCAAGGTCTGCAAGCTCCAGATTGTGAACGCCTCTGATAGTTCGGTCAGCATCCTGATGCGTGCGTGTATGGGATTTATTTTAAACTGTGACCTTTTTTTCTAAGCTGGAGAACAACACAATCTTAACGGATAAATTAAAGAAGGTTCAGCAAGAAAACGAAGAATTAAAGGCTCGGATGGACAAACATGTGGAGCTTTCAAGGTAAGGAAAAAAATCTGTGGACTCTTAGATGTTCTTACGAACCAGAGGAAGGTGTTCTTGTGGCAAGAAAGAAAATTCTGTGTGAATATTAGCGGCTGGGATTTTGCAGTGCTGTAAAAGAGCATGCCCCTTTCTTCCCCACTTGTATCTCTACAAGCGTGCGTTCCTATGTAGAAGAAGAAGCAGGAACAGATTGTAAGGGGGTCAGCGCTCAGTATGTTCTCCAGTGCTCCAAAACAGTGTCTGAGGGAAGAAAATGCAACTCGGAAATACCATCTTACAGCTCCGTTCTTTAAGTATTACTGGCTTGTGAGCTAAACCTGGTTTTACTTACAACCACTTGAGTGGTTTGTCCTCCATTTGGATCAGTGAAAAGACCGGTGTGTTTTATTTAGCAATAATGGCAATATTTAACACGAATAAAATGGGTCTGAGGTTCTCCTAACTTCAACTATTGCTTAAACGGATGGGGAAACTCCTCTGGTTTGAAGGAAACTAAGGAAACGCAGCTGCTGTGTGGAGCTGAGCCCTGCAACAAGGCGCAAAGGCTCCAGCACGGCCGTTTAAAAGCATCTGTCATCGTTAAGTAGGACAAGTCTCACTTTTCAGCTGCTTTCTCCGGCCTTCAGGAATGTTTCTCGTTGGTACTTCCTGCTGCTTTCTGCAAGCTGCCAGCTTCAGTCCAGCGAGGCCGAGAACGTGCTAAATCCGCGTTTTAAGGAAGCAATTTAGCTGTAAGCCAAGCAGGGGTTTAGGCAGTTTCAAACCTTGAACAGTTAAGTTCAACACTGTAGCCTCCAGCTTGGGTTGTGTGTTTTGATGTAACTCTTTGGGTTGCAGGCAGCTTTCTACGGAGCAAGCCGTCTTACAGGAGTCGCTAGAGAAGGAATCAAAAGTTAACAAACGCCTGTCCATGGAAAATGAAGAACTTCTGTGGAAGTTGCACAATGGTGACCTATGCAGCCCGAGAAAACTGTCTCCCAGTTCTCCATCCGTGCCTCTTCAGTCCCCACGGAATTCTGGTAACTTCTCTAGCCCTGCAGTTTCACCAAGATGACATCTCAAGAGAGGGGGGATTGCATTTCATTTCTGACCTGCAGAACCGATCCTAACTTTAATTACAGAAGCAAGAGCTATATTAGCCAAGTACAACAACTAAAGATAACTGGAAGCCATTTGGTGCAAAAACGACAGCAAGAGACGGAGAGTGTGGGAGTCAGATGTTCGTGTTGCTCCTCCCAAAAAGACTTGTTTGTGACCTCTATGGACATTGTTGCACACAGCACTTACAGAGCAAGGAAAAGACTTGTTTGTTGCCTTTTCACCTAACGATAAGAAAAAGCTCAGGGGCTTAGAGATAAAGATCACAACCTTTATAGTATGTTCCTTATCACAGACACTTTTTTTTTTAAAGGCCGTGTGTGTGCGAGTGTGCGTGTGCTGTGGATGGAACGGATGTAACACACTGTGCGTGTGTCTGACGCTGCCTTCTTTGCTGTGTACCTAATAAAGGAAAAAAAGCTGAAGACTATACATTGACATGTACTTCCTTAACGATGTTGTCAGTACGTCTGCTTTTAGCAGAGAGTGAAGAGAAGCTGCCCCTCGTACTATAGGTTGGTTTCCTTCGTCCTTCTGGCGTCAGTTCAGTGGAATAATGGCACGAAGAGCTTTGTCAGCTGACCCAGGAGTGTCTTGGCCGACCTGAATATGCAACTTTGAAATAATTTTAAAAACAAAGGTTTAATATCCGTGCGCAGATCTGCCATTTATGAGGAGACTTTTTTGCAGGTTACAGTAGATTTTGGCTTTCAAGTCAACAGGGTCGTAGTCAGAGGACAGAAGCTGTTGGCTGAATTCCAGGTTTAGAAACCTAGACCTGTCGTTTTGCCTGCCAAAAAGGAACCACTTCCCCAAAACAGCATGTGCGTTGCTGAGGCCGCCTGCTGAGGAAAAACTAAATGTAGATTTGAAAGCCAAAGAGAAAAATGCAATAACTGTCATTAGGTCCACTCTTCATTCAGTTCTCAAGAAGAATCTTGAGTAATTTATGAATTCCAAGGTATCTGGTGACACGCTTTGCCTTTTTAAGCATTAGCATTTCTATTAACATTCTTCAGGGTTAGCTAATTCACCTGAGGAGGATGGCAGCTGTGTATTCACGTTGCTAATTCTGCCATACCTTCCTCTTAGACTGCAGGGTATCAGTGGTTTGCCAGTTCATTTGGCAAAAGATCCTGTGCAAGCGATTCTGTAGAGCAGGGGAAAAAAAAAAAATTGTCCTGGCTGCTGGAACTGGAGGCAGAGAGTGTCAGCGTTTCTGGAAACATCACATGCTGAGCTTCAGCAAGGCGATAGCGTAGCCTTGCTGCACCCTTGGTCAGACCTGTTTAAGATCTCTACGTTCTACCTACTAAACACAGGTTCAACTTCAAATGAGTATTACCAAACACTGGCTGCGCTTACGGGCGCTTGGGCTTTGCAGTACTGTTTCCAGGACTGTTGTTACAGTACTGGTTAGCTAACGCTGTTAGCTGGCGGCACAGTTACCTGTGACAGCAACTCCTGTCTGCCGAGCTGCCCTGCGCTTTTCGGTAGCTTGGGGACAGGAATCGAGGGGACGGAACGTGTTTGGGGAACTCGGCTGCAGAACCGCTTCATTCTACCCAAGGCTTGAAAAATCTTGGCTAGTAATGAGGAACACAGACGTATAAACAAGACTGTTAACAGTGCTCATACAGCAAGTAAGCTTGTAATACACTTAAACTTGTGATTGACTGTTTCATCATTCAATTTACTTAATTTTCCATAATGTTACAAGTTAAGGTTGCCACTTCTATAGAACATTGTACTGTCTTTTAATCTTCTTTAGGGCACTGTACATACCACTTGTTAGTGGTGTCAGTACTTAACGTGTTTTATAGGGGTTCCAAATTTAACTATGAAAATCCTCTGCGGGCTAAAACTTGGCTTAAAGTGTATCTTGGAACATTCTTATTTTCTATGGTCAAAGATTTGATCACATGTATTTGAGCTGAATGCTTAAAAAATAAATTTTTTGTACTGATTGAAGGGCTTTTCTCCTGCTTGTGTTAGTCAAGTGATCTTTAATCTAAGGAGGAATGTTCCTCCAGATACTGAAAACTCTTAGTACCTGCTCAGCTCAGCAAAACAGCAGTAGCGAAGCTTCGTTGCAGAAATTATTAATGTTCAACTAACCCTCAGAAAATTTTAACTCTGCCCTTGCTACTCTAATGTAGGTAGAAGTTACGCAGAGCTTGGTTGTGATTATTAGTGACTCAGTTTGAGCTGGCTGTTAAAAAAAAAAGAGTGTAGATAACATTCCAGAATTAAGCAATAATAAAACACTTGAGTACAGTTGGCTTAACATAGGGATGCAATATGCATATGCCTGCTAAAGGCATCCTACAGGACTCATCTCATTAAAATGCTCACCTTGTTCAGGAAACTTCACGTGTGAGAAGCCACATAGAGTTTAGCAATCAAACAGGTCACGTCACAAGGACAGTTGTCTGGCCACTGGTGAGAACTTGTGTCTTGGTTGCAAAGTTAGTGCCTCAAAGCGTGCAAGGAGAGTGCCTACAAATGTCTGAAGATCAAATACAGCGCACCCCTTCGTGTAACAGGGAAGGGGAAAGCTTTACCAGGCTACCAGTACAGACAAGTACTATAGCATAGTAAATAATCCAAAGACTGCTAATTTGTCGAATTTATTAATTTCCCTCCACCATACAGGAGCCTCCACCTCTAAACTTCTTGCAAGTAGAATCTTTGACGCTCTTACAAAGAAATGAAGAATCCTTGTGTATAGATATTGGACTACAGAAACACCTGTTCAGTGTTTGTCCTGGTGGTCTTAAAGAATTAAATAATTCTGTTCATCTGTAAGTACTGTTTCAATATTTTTTTTTTTTTGCTGTTTGAGTATTAATATTTCAAGCTTTAACTTAAATATGTGTTTAGCAATGGCTTTGTTCGATCCAGTCTTTCTCATATTTTTGGTAATTTCTTTAGCATAAAGTTTCCTCCAGGGAAAGCTAGAACCTGCTCGCCGTAAATACATGCCAAAGCTCTATTGTTAGTCAAGCAATTAAACAAGTGATTTTCTTCAGATACTCCACCTTAACTGGTAGTTCCAGCTCTAACAGTGTTTCAGTGGAAGTTTCAGTGACGTTTACATCTGTACTGAATAGTCTGCTGCCATTCACACTGTTCAGAACATGGCTCACCTCCCTTCAGTACTTCTCTCTAAAGGTCTTCATGTGAGTTGCGCTACATTTGCTGTAAAATTTCAGGTGAATCACTTCCTTATGCTGATTCAAGCCTTTAAGTTTTCGCGTTACAAACACCAAAGATGCTTGTGTGTAAAAAGGTATAAAATCACAGTATCAGGCAATTCATACAGGAAATTCCATCTAGACAGTAAGCAGCCACTGATCTTTACAACTGTAGGTGCCTGACAGCCAGGAAATCATTTAGGGCTGAGCTGGAGTTAAAAAGGTCATCAAGAAGTTGGAATAATCATTGAACCATGAAGAAACAAACACCTTCTGTCCACTGCTGCTGCCTTGCCTTAGCAGAGCGGTGACCGAGGTATGGAAATGGAGATAACAGTACCAGCAGGTTTAGGCATGTGACTTCAAGTCACTTGAATTTCATTTCCCAGGCTTCATTCTCCTACCCTGTGTCACTGTTCATTTATGTGGAAATGTGTAATTGCATCGATGTAGAAAGAATCAGGCCTGCCCAGGAGGCTTTCGGTAACACAAGAACTATGTAAAATATATAGTAAAATAA